ATTATTTGCGAACAAGCAGATTTGTGTTAGGTTCGCTCGGTTCGGTTCGGTTCGGTTAATTCGCGAATAGTAGGATTTTTTTTCGGTTAACCGAAAATTCGGTTAACCGAGTTTTTGGGTTCGGTTTCGGTTAGCGAGTTCGAATATTTTCTCGGTTCGGTTCGGTTAGCAAATACCTCAAAAAGTTCGGTTAACCGAACCGTGCCCACCCCTACTCATTCTAGGAGCACCCTTCCTTCCCGAGAACAACCTCATCCAACGTGGTCACGACGCGGAGGCCACCAAGCACCTCCGTCGAAAGATCTGAGTCACGAGCAACGTCGAGGCCGAGCTCGACGACCTCATTGATAGAATTGAATTTAACTTTATTCGAAATAAATCGATTAATCCCAAGAGCATTCATATCGAATAATCGAGAATCATAACAGAATAGCGGAAGCGTACCTGATGGATTCATGTTGATTGATTAATTAGATTTGGAATTTGGAAATCTTCCAAAAGACCATGAATTTTGTCTTATTTATTTTGGACGTACGAAAGAATACTGAATTAAGCTTTTGAAGAATAAAACTTCTTCTAATAATGATGCCCTCCTCACTTTCGCTTTTTATATTAATGAGCAATTATTGAGCAATTAATTACCCAATAATTTGCACCTAATGCTACATTGTCGGCAACTACTTCTTTCTTTACTTTTTTTTTTTTTAATACGTTATGGGTTATCCAAATGGCATCACTTTATTTTCACGGTTTTTGGGGACCCCATCCATAAATAATTTTGAGAACTACTACATGTACATAATAAATGTACATAAAGATGTACATAACACTTGGGCTGGGCATGGGACTCGGAGAAATCCGAACAGTTCCGAAAACTGAACCGAAAAATAACCGTTGACCGTTTGACTTTCTCCGAAGCGAACACGGTTTTGGAGATTTCACAAATATCAGTACCGAGAACCGAACCGAACCGTCTCGTACTGTAACGAACCGAAGAACCGAAATTAATAACTGAATTATAACATTAGATGTGTTATTAATATATTTTATGTCAACTTTAATTCTATATAATATAGTAATAAATATTAATCTTCACTTAAATTTCATGCTTAGTAATATTTGATCTACAATTGATTTTTTCTATTATAAAACAATTAATTAAAATAATATGAAAGTTTAAAGAATATTTTTTTAAGAAAAAAAAAATTTATTAAAATTTTAAATTTTCAATATTAGTTGCACAATTTTAGTTATAACTAAAATTTAGAGTTATTTATAAAGTTGATTTCAAAATAAAATCTTTAATGTGAGGAAGTACTGATGAATGTTGGTTTTATTAAAACATATAAAAATTGAATAACTAAAATTTAGAGTTACTACTAGAATTGATTTCAAAATAAAATCTTTAATACGATGAATTATTGACGAATGTAGTTTTTTTAAAGCATATAAAAATTAAAATATACCTAGGTAGTCATTCAATAATAATTTAAAAAATAAAAAATCTCCGAAGATCCGAACCAAACCAAACCGAACCGAACTGCCCCAATAGTACCGAATACCGAACTGAACCGAACCGAAAAATAAAAATCTCCGAACCGAACCGAACCGACTTTTTGGTACGGTTCCGGAGATCGAATTTTGGGATCTCCGAAGTTTGGTACGGTTTTGGAGATTTATCAATCTCCGAACCGTACCGACCCACGCTCTCCCCTACATAACACTTACATGGAGCGGGGTCCACTTGATTTTTGAATTTTAGTTGGTCCCACTCAATGTGTGTTATGTACACCTCTATGTACAACTTTATGTACCTATAACATTACTCAATAATTTTGATCAAATTATTTGCTATTTAGGTCCTTAAGTTTAATATTATTATTTGTTACGTCAACAAATAATAATATTACCGAGTGTCCACATTTAATAGTTCCACAGTCCAAATTAAGTTCCTTAGCATGTACAATAATTTGATCGCATAATTTGGCTAATCAATATAATGACCCAATGTATCAATTACACATATTTAATCACAAAATAGATCTAACACTCATAGCAGCGACCGCGCCTCGGCACAGAGCAAACGCTAGTTCCGAACTTAGGGAGATCCTCAGAGCATATTGTTGTTGTTTCAGACTGAGATATTCTCGATTTTGCCGCCGCCCACCACCTTGCGGCTCGTCGGATTCGGGCCAATGGGGGAGATCGGGTCTTCGAACAGAGGTTGGAACTCCGGCGGACTAAGGATGGTTTCGTCCTTGAACAATTAGAGAAATAGAGACATGCAAATGGCAGCTGGCGCCGAAAAAATTAATTTATTAATTTATTTTATATAATCAATTCAAAAATAATAATAATAATAATAATAATAATAATAATAATAATAATAATAATAATAATTTTTTATTATTTAATTATTATATATTCCAATTGATTAAAGTGAGTCACTGATTTACACAAAATCAGTGGCTAAGATTGCGTTTGATGTAATCATTTTAACAAATGGACTTATTTAATCCACCCTTATACATATATTATTTTCAAATAATTATTTTTGGAGTTAATCTACAACAATATACTTCATTTTTTCAAATCAAATTAAATTCTATATAAGGTTGAAATTGAATAAATTAATTGCAATTTTCTTAAAAGTTTAACATCAAATTATTGATATCACATCATTGAAAGCAAAAAATTAAAAAAAAAATATGTATTGTATAGAAATAAAATAATTCATTATTTTTTTAGAAAGTTATTCAATAGATTTAGATTAATTATAGATATTGCATTATCTAAAATAAAAGTAAAAGTCTCACCATAGATGGTAAAGAAAAATTATCAAAAGAAAAATCGTACTATTTCTATTAAATCAAAACCTTTTACATACATAGATCTCTAAACATAATTTGTAAGTCAATGGTTAACTAAATAAATTCTAAAGTACATAAAGTAATTCATGTTTTATTGGAAGAATGACCAATGCGTAGATGATATACTTGCAATTAGAAACATGTCATTAGTCAAATTGCATGTAATATGAATTGGAAGAATAAAAGATTTTCATAAAGAACCTTCTACGGAAACATAAAGAATTACATGAAGTTAAAACTTGCTATGATCATATTAATTAATGAGTAATGCTATAAGTACATAATAATATATATATAGGAGTGTACATAACACTCATATTGAGTGAGACCCACAAAAATAAAAAATTAAATGGACCCCACTCCATGTGAGTGTTATGTACACGTCTATGTACATTTATTATGTATTTGTAGCATTTTCTTTAATTCAGTACATCACTTTTAACATCCGCAATTTTTTTTTTTTTGGTACAGGGACCTTCCGGTTTCCGGATCCACAGTGGAACCGACTAATCCGGAATCAAGCCGGGTAGGACCATAAGGGCGGCAAAGTTCTCCCTCAAGAGTTTTAACACTGCTGCATTCCCAGGGCTCGAACACGAGACCACTGGTTAAGCTGGAAGAGACCCAAGCCATCTCATCCAAGCGCTCTTGGGTAAGATCCGCAATCATTAAAAGTACACATCATTATTTACTTTTTTTTTTGTCATCTTTTATGTTAAACAATTATGTCAAGTAGCTTTATTCCTTAAAAAAAAGAAAAAAAAAAAAGAAAAAAAGAAAAAAAGACTAACAATCCCCCTCCCCTATATATAATTCCTGAATGTGCTGAGCCTAAGTGGCAGACTCGCATGCTTTGAGATCCTACGTGTCAAAATTCCATGCTTTATTATTTGGCTTGGATAGATTTTAATTAATTCCAATCCAAAAATAATTAGGCTCAGATTACCATAAATATGCTAATTTATTTATGATCATTTTAGATGTACTAAATATATTTTAATATCATTTCTTATTATAACCATTGAATTGTAAATGTATTTTCAAAGTCATTAACTTTTGTGTCTCTTATCGGTGTTACATATATAATATATCAAATTAATTATCTTTTGATTAACTTTGATTTGACATCCATATTGTATATATAAAATAAATAAATTATATTTATCTTTATAATATAATAAAAGATATTTATTAAAATTTAGAAAAATAAAATTATTTCTCAATTAATATATTTATGTTTAATGTAGCTATATGTTAAAAGTTAGAAAAATTATTATTATAATATAACACAAGTAAGTCGGACAAGTAACAAGTGTATATAAAATATATAATAATATGTATATTTTTTATAAAAGGTATTAAATCTTTCAACAACTTTTTCTCATTAATTTTAAATTTTAAAAAACAAAATTTAGCAATCACCCGTGTAATACTCGAGTGTTTGTACTAGTGAGAAGAGTTTTGGATTCAACCGTGTAACTACACCAGAATAGTATCCAGGTCACTTAAAACAGCATCGACCCAATAAAGCTAAAAATATAAGAACATGAGTACATATATTTTACCAAGGTACCTGATATATTTGAAACATATTTAATCACATAAATAGTTGTCAACTGTAAACACTATTTGTACCAACTATTGACACATGTCCAAATTGTATTTATTGTAAGACACGTGTCAATACACTATTGGTGAATAAGCGTGAATGGTTCCATAAGTCGAGCCATCCGATGACTCCATAGCAAAACTGCTCAAAAAAGTGAAATTGACGCTATTTTTAACATCGGTCACACTAAACCACACAACTAACATAAGGTTAAAGCTCGAGACAGCTACTCCCACGAATTTTACTGTAGCATTCAACACAAATCGAAACTGATAAGAATGAAGATGTACAGACTCATCATATAAATTCAACTCCTTTCTGTTCTAAGCTGCACAGCCATGAATCGAGCAAGTCGAAAAAAAAAGATCGATAAATTATACACAATACTTAGCAAGTACAAAGTTGTAAGAATACCTTAAAGTATAAAAACTAGAATTAACATGTGCTGTGAACTAAAGGCATCAATTTGCAAAACTAGAATAACTACCTATCTACCATTTATCCTCAAACGGGAATACGAGTCACTCACTGATGGATTCCGGGTCTATATGTACAAAGAAACTAGCCGCGACTATTAGATAGCATAAAAGAAGCATTAGTCCTTTGAAATAGTTGGATGTACCTTCCTGCAAGCCACATTATATTACGATTAAGACAGACAAATATTTGGCCCGAGAAAAGAATCCTATGAACTGGGAAAGATGAGCAAGAAAATGATCAAACTGATGAGCTAACCTGCAGCATAAAGGCCACTACAAGAACTGTCATAAGGAGTGTAGCAGTCTCAAATAGTTGAAAGTTTAAGTCCATTGGCCGTCCCATGGCCCAGCCCACGATCACAGTGAAAGGTATCTTCAGTTATATATTAAGGGAATTATAAATAATAAAAAAATAAAATGACTGAAAGGAAAAAGGAAACATAGATAGAAGCACAAACCCCAAACATTGCTATTTGGGTTGACGAGCCAATCGCCACTGCCAGAGAAATGTCCTGTGCACGCACAAGGGAAAATTTGAGAATTTAATTCAACAAAAAAAAAAAAAATT